TAACAGACACCATTGCTGCATCGAAAGACAGATGGAAGTGGAGGTCCATGATCGCCCACGCCAGTCGGCAAGGCACCGGATGATGATGATGATAATTGTGTGACATTCTTATGATTACGCTGCACATTTTAACCATCGTATAATTCACTTCCATCTTTTTTCTTTTACTCACATCAAGGAACATTCACGTATATTTCCAAAAGTGCAAAAAAGTGAAAATTTAAATTTAAAATAAAATTAGATATAAAACTGAAGAGCTCACAAGAATGATACAATTATACAATCTTTAAAATGTGCAACGCAATCTTAAAATTGCCCCACAATCTTAAGATTGCCACCAATTACACGATGTTTAAAACGTGCAGCGCAATCTTAAGATCGGTAAATTGCGCGGAACACAACACATGCACAGATATCATACGTATGCATATAATAATATGCAGTTCTACATTTACTAAAACATAACAGAGTAGATCATTCAAGCAAAATATTACATACACTCTTTCTTACTAATAAGGAAAAAATTGAGACTCATGTCAATTTCAAAAGCGCCTTAATTACAAATAAAACAAATTACAGATAGTGGAATTCAGGACTGAAAAAAAGTGTTGATTTTGAGCAAGGTTGACTTTATCCGTTGTACTACACGCCATTAAAAATTAAAGATTACAGCTACAAAATTACAAAGTATGGTAACAAGATGTTATCTCAATTTCAGTGAGTATATTTCTGAAGTTGTAGTTGTAACCAAATCAAGAGATAATGAGTGAACAACGTAATTGGAGGTGTGTGCACCACTAGCTCATGCCCTAAATATCTCTTCTTAAATGAATTCATATTGGGATTTAGCCCAGAATTTTTGGTTTTACGCTAGGTTAACTTTCAAGCGGTTGACTGTACATGTATCAGAAACACAATTACTTAAACAAAGAAGGCAAGAAACGGGACCACAGTGAGGTGTCGACTGCAAGCAAGAGTTGACTTTATCAGGATTCTGTTGTATCTGTTATTACTGATCATTATGCTTAAAATCAAAAAGTTAAATTAGTTATCATCAAAAAAGGCAGTGTTCATTATTATGTCAAAAATATTTTTTTTAAACATGGGCATCTGCTGAGCTGTCTTCCAAATATGGGTCCTGTTCCAACTTCCTGCTCAGTCTCCTCTTCCTCCTCTTCTTCCTCCTCCTCCATGTTTTCCTGTGTAAAGCGGTACTTAAGCCGTGTGCCTCTTCAATGTTGCAATACTTGGAAAATATTTTCCACATTCCTTGTGGCCTCTGCACACCATGCAGCCTTTCTCGACCAAGGCCACCCTTTTTTTCCTTATTTTTTCACCTCTCAAAAATGTAATATTACTTTGGTTCAAGACCCCCCCCCTTCCCCTACCCTTTCTTACACT